TAGTTTTACTATGATATGACCACAATGGTGTAAATTCTACATTAGATGTTGTATAAAATAATCTATTATCTACACTATATTATATCATTGTTTACTTACCTTGTACATCTAGTTTAATATTTGTGATAACTGATTGTATATTTGCTGAATTACTTCCTTCACATGCGATAGTTTTACTATGATATGACCACAATGGTGTAAATTCTATAGTAGATGTTGTATCAAATAATCTATTATCTACACTATGTTAGGTCATTGTTTACTGACCTCGTACATCTAGTTTAATATTTATGGTAACTGGTTGAATATTTGCTGAATTACTTCCTTCACATGCGATAGTTTTACTATGATATGACCACAATGGTGTAAATTCTATAGTAGATGTTGTATCAAATAATCTACTGTCTCCACTGTTTGGACTGTCAGACTTTGATGACTGTACAACTGGTATATTCTGAGTGTCCCAGTATATATTAGAAGCTGCAGGCTTGGACCCAATGGTTTCACACGTCAGTGTATGTGATAGACCATCTGTAACTATGACGTCATCATCTGATGTATATCCACCAGTATTAGCATCATCTGATATTACAATTGTATTGACAGCAACTGTAGACAAATATAATAGAATTGTCATATTTCAATCGAAACGTGTCAATGGTGACGACAGACAGACAAGATAGCTTACAATCCCCATGACGGCAGTTAATATATAAATACAACGACAAACTACGTCGGCATTCCGGGTGCGACCAATAAAGCGGGTGGTTGTAGAGTGCGAGCGAAAATTTAGATTTCTTATATCTTAGTGCTAACACTTGTTTTTATAATTGAGGCCATCGTAATCGACATATTTTTCTTAAGTAGTGAAATTGTAACTATAACGTATCACTAACCAAGAATGTTACCCAAACCAGCGAGTTATTTGAAAACTGTACCGAACAAAAAAGAGTCCACAAGAGTGTAGTTGGGAGCCCTTAGATTTATTGAAACTCAAAGGAGTTTGACGCATGCGTTCAACCAAACATTGAATTCACCGATACGGTATCGGTGAATATTCGTCGAGTTATAGGTGTCACGGTAATATCAAATCTTCGGCGAGAACGATTCAGTGTGTGTCACTGTACCGAATCTGTGTATTGTATGGTGTGTTGACGGACAATGCGCAGTGAGCCAAGTCAACTGTGGTTGTATACAGGTAAAATTAGTGTGAACATGACGTGCATAATTTAATTAATCATTTAATGACTCCAAATTCATTCGAGCGAGTGAAACCGTAAGTTGTTCTTTTATTTTCTTTTTTTGAACTGTCTTTTGGCTGAAATTCAATCGAGAGTTATATCTACAACTGACTTTTGTTTGACACAAATAATCAGAGAAATGAATTTAGGAATATAATGGAATTGAAAACAACAATTTGTCCCGTATGATGTAAAATTACCACTTTAGTTTCCACAATATTTTAAGATGTTGATGCTCGCTGTCTGCTATAATGCAGCTAAATACCAGCATGATAACGAATGTTCCGGAAGAATTTCATGCAAACACATGACTCTAAAATATTATTGGAAATCCACACAGCACTACCCACAATAATGCGTGGGGACTATATACTATTCATCAGGGGTAAACTACAAACTATATGAATCACTCTCTTCAATATGACACGATTTATTGGTTCTATGTGCTTCTAAAATAACTCACAATCCTAGATTTTAAATCGTCACGAATTACCCAGTTTGAAACGTGTGTATATACATTACATTCGTTAATATTGTGCCGACTTTGATGTACTGTGTAAGTCGGAATTAATGCCATGTGACATCGAATGAAATTGGGATCGGCCGCCAATCAAGACATTTGAAATGTAAACAGTGCTGGACTGGGGAAATCTTAAATGCACTGACAGTGAATAAAAGAAGACATGATACAACGCCCAGAAATAAAGGAAAAAACATCAATTATAAATTAATCAAAATGCCGAGGTCTGCATTCAATGTTCACAACTATGTGCGCGTACTAATGATTGCAAGGATACGCGTCTTTCGGCTTACGGCTTCATTGACTACACTCAAACTAACCGCGTCGTCTAAGATATAGTTTATATTGGAGGATGAAATTAGGTGTAATCGTTAACGCCATGGGTTTAGCGTCTTCTAATTACAGTTTTAAATTGGATAGGCGTTTTCATATAGAGCCATTTATTCACATCATTACAACGAATATAAACTGTAAAACAGTGGGTCAGCTACTCATCAACCAACACTAAGCTTCGACGAAGTGTGAGCAATGGACTCGACTAGAAAGGTCATTCGCTTCCGTACTGACTCACATGCTTACGCGGACATTATATATCATTATCATCTTGTTATTGGGATGGAGCATATAAATAATTTACACACCATTTACGTCAAGTTTAACCCTCGTCACTACAGCTTTTCCAATAGCATCATTATCAACTTTACATATAACGTATTGTAGATGGTTATTCCACTGTGGTATAAATGTGAATATACTGGATACATCAAATAATTCACTGTCTTCTGAATTAGGAGTAGGTGATGTCATCGTAGTCGACTGTAGTGTATTATCAATATACCACTCTATAGTAGGAGCAGGTTTTGCCGTAGCTGTGCAAGTCAGAGTAGAAGACCTTCCAGCATTCACAGGAAAGTCGTCATTATTGTTATAACCATCTATCACTGGCGATGATGGTGGAACTGGAAAGAAATGTTTCGATTTGTAATATATATATATACCAATTACATTTGTATAACCAGAAGAAAATATCGTCAATGTCCCTACAAATTAATTACAGCTGAAAAAATGTAACTTTTTGAAAACAGAATATTTTATTTTTGTAATGTGTATGTGTGGTAAATATATAGGCTTCACATATAATATCTTTATCTTGGTAACTATGCTATACTAGTATGTACTGTAATGTACTTGTGGTGTCATGTAAACCATTACTTACCTAATACATCCAATGTCACATATGTACTGTAGTGTGTATGTGTGGTAGGCTTCACATTTAATATCTTTATCTTGCTTACTATTCCATACTGCCATGTACTGTAATGTACTTGTGGTATCATATAAACCATTACTTACATAATACATCCAATGTCACACATGTACTGAGGTGTGTATGTGTGGTAAATACATAGGCTTCACATTTCATATCTTTATCTTGGTCACTATTCCATATTCGTACATACTGCACTTGTAATATCATATAAGCATTGCGTACCTAACACATTCAAAGTCACATATGTACTGTAGTGTGCGTGTATGGGAAATACATAGGCTTCACATTTAATATCTTTATCTTTGTCACTATTCCATACTGGTATGTACTGTAATGTACTTGTAGTGACATACAAACCATTACTTACCTAATACATCCAATGTCACATATGTACTGTGTTGTGTATGTGTGGTAAATATATTGGCGTTACATTTCAAATCTTTATCTTGGACACTATTCCATACTGGTATGTACTGTAATGTACTTGTAGTGTCATATAAACCATTACTTACCTAATACATCCAATGTCACATATGTACTGTGGTGTGTATGTGTAGTAAATACATAGGCTTCACATTTCATATCTTTATCTTGGTCAATATTCCATACTGATATGTACTGTAATGTACTTGTAGTGTCATATAAACCATTACTTACCTAATACATCCAATGTCACATATGTGCTGCGGTGTGTATGTGTGGTAAATACATGGGCTTCACATTCCATATCTTTATCTTGGTCACTAATCCATACTGGTATGTACTGTAATGTACTTGTAGTGACATATAAACCATTACTTACCTAATACATCCAATGTCACATATGTACTGTGTTGTCTATGTGTGCTAAATATATTGGCGTCACATTTCAAATCTTTATCTTGGTCACTATTCCATACTGGTATGTACTGTAATGTAATTGTAGTGACATATAAACCATTACTTACCTAATACATCCAATGTCACATATGTACTGTAGTGTGTATGTGTTGTAAATACATAGGCTTCACATTTAATATCTTTATCGTGGTCACTATTCCA